CTCCTTGCCTGTACCCAGCCTGAGAACAGAGATACTGCCAGCCCAGCACCCTTCCTCTGCCTTCCCCAGCTTGCCCTTGGTCAGCCACGTCTGCTCTTCAAGCGCACCAAATGAGGGGGAAGATGCAGCTCTCAGCCATTATCCATACACTACATGGCTGGTTTAAAGCTGGGATGAAAACAACGCCGAAGCACAAGTGTTCAGAGGAAACGGAGTTGTCTCTGCTATTTGAGGTTACCACGCAATCTGCATGGAGGGGTATCTCTTGTTGCTATGATTTATAGCAGCTGTACGAGGCTACAAGGACATCACAGATGGATACTGCAGGAAATGATCAACATTTCTTCCAGTCTTCTAATAAGCCCTCCCCATCGCATGCACACACACACGCTCCCTGCTGGGCTGGGTTTTTGCAGTGACAAAAGCCTCAATTCACTGCAGCAGCGTCTCTCATGAACCTGAAAGACCTGACGTTTTCTTTTTTAGCTGATGCATTGATCCCAGCAGAGTTCTGGTAAAAAAAGAATGATGCAATTTACAGCTGATAAGTAGCCAATTAAAGATGAGCTTTTTTTTATCTCCAGCAGAGATATCCATTCCTAGATCATAGCCTGATTCAACATATAGAGTGGCTCTATGATAGGTGCCTTTAGGCTGGTAGCAAAAAAAAAAATCCACCCCCTGTCACTTGTGACATTAATTTGCATCATTCCACATTACCAAAGCACTGTTATTTCAGCTCAATATGCATGGATGCTTTGCTCCTCGTTCAATGTACTCCACTGTCAACAGAAAAGGCATAACCCTCTTAGCAGAACACAAACACATTTCTGTTTCCAAAGGAAGGCTACAGATACTAAGAGGAACTCTTTCTTTGGCAAGGTATCACACAAGTCCTCAGAGCTTGCTCTTCAGGCAATGCTCACTGCTGAGTGAGAAACCAGACACAGCGCTCCCCACCTGCAAAGCCATAAGGTCAGAAGCAAACATCAGAGCAATCTCCCCAAAGCCAGATGTGAACACCTGCACATTTAGAAAACCCCCGTCTAGAGATAAACAATGAGCTCAGATGCTCATGTTTAAGTTCCAGCGTACCCTTCAGGTGTCTGCTAAAGAAGTCATTTCATCTGGCCACTTTTGCAAACCAGCAGGCGAAAATCTAACACGCTATGTCCAGCATGGGATTGTACCTCAGAACTTACTCAATATCACATGGAGATGTGACACTGTTTGATAGGAAAAAAACCCCTAAACCAGCTTTTTGTGAAAACTTAGCAGAGAAATTACTGTGACAAACCATATCAGGAAAAAATCTTCCCTGGACTATAATGGCATTCTTTGCATTAGGATGAAAGCCTATTTCCAAGCAATGAACTGTCTGCATTGATAGCTGAGTTTGAACCAGAAATTGCCCAGTGACAAAACCAACTTAATACAGCAAGCAAATTTCTATGTCTCTCCTGCTAATAATGCACATATGCAATACGTGGAAGTCATGAGACCAATGCAAACAGGTTGAAGAATCAGCGAATGAAAATTTTTAAAAGCTCTTTGGACACTTGGTACTGCGAGAATACTCTTAAAACTATTTTGTAGATACCCTATAATGTTCTTACACCACCTAAAACAGGATGTAGGCTGGTCCTTTATAAAGGTTAAGTAAGCAGTTTTCCATTTACCAGGCTAAAAGCATGCACACAGCCAGTTACTGAGTTTGAAGTATGCTATATATTACTGTAAAGTTGTGTAAAACAACTTAACTTAACGTGACCTGAACTCAAAAGCTGCAGTCTCACTGGACGTCATCAAAACTTTAAAGAGTAGATTTTCAAAGATGCAGAGAGAGTTTGAACATTTTTCCACTGAAAGCCAAGTCAAGTAGAGATAGAAAAAAAAAATTAAGTTCTTACAGGTACAATACCTACCAAGGGAGAAGAGCGCACCAAAACATTACCCAAGGCAAATGTGCCTTTGAAAACATCCCTTTTGTACCTCCATGACACGGGTAACTTTAAAGTGAAATAACTCATGAAAACTTTATCCCTCATCTGATGCAAAGGCCTGGTCTTATTGAAGAGAATACCTACAAGGAAAGCAAGAGGCAGCCTTACACATAACCCTGCTTTTCATGCCCGAGCGCTTAACTTGGCTACAGGGATACCCATCTCAAGGCAAAGAGCCCATACGCAGCCAGAGATGCTGGAACGCCACGTAAGATCACAAAAATAATAGTGCTCAAATCAAAGCAGCTATTATACAATTCTAAGGTATTTTCATAGAATGGTTTGGGTTGGAAGGGACCCCTAGAGGTCATCAGGTTTTGTTCAGCAGTGTAGTACTAAATCAGCAAGAAGAGGTTTTCATTTTATTTCTGAGCATGGAAGAACATGGGAGTTATCTTGCACTAACCAACCCCCAACCTACAAAGGACAGGGTTTTTGTTTTTTTTTACATGATTTTTAAATAATCCATTCTGTTTTCCAGTAAATAAGCCTATTTGGGATAGTTAATAGGTATTGTTTTGTCAGGTCTCAAATGTATGTGAGATTTAGCTGGGCAAGATGCCAAGAACTGATGCTTCCAGGCAAAGCCATCTATTTAGTGATGAAGAACTTACTGATGCTCCTGAACTTTGCTCTTTTTTTTTCCTGTTTTAATTGTTATATTTATTGTGTTGTTTTTTTTTTTAAAAAAAACAGTTTCTCAAGTCTGTCTCTGCATTCTTCCTCCAGATTCACGACAGAAAACTGAACTCTGTTCACACTGTATAAAACTGGTGTGACAGATTGGAGCAGCAGAATGGTGGAATTGCCATTTGGAGCTGTAAACTCACATTTATTTTCAGCTGACTCCGACCTTTCTGCAGTTAAGCCTTCCTTCTTCTGTTTTTAATATGCAGTGCTGAGCTTTTATTATCAATAATGCAAAAGGTGCAAGTAAAGCAGAAGCTGGCCAAGAACGGCCGAAAGCTGATTAAGTAAATCTGCAGATTTACTATACCTCTGACACGCATCACCTTTTACAACCCTTTCGAGGTAATAGGCCAAAATATATTCAAAAAATTGTTCTCAAGTATACTTTAGTGAGAAGATGTACTGAAGATGGACAAAGCAAGCCCTAGATTGAGAGTAATCAGTATAAGCAGAAAAGAGAAACTGGAGAGGACTGGAGTTTCACTCAAGATCTTTCCCAAATCCGTTTCTCAAAATGGTTGAACAACCTGGAGGAGCAGTTTGCAATCAACATCTCCCACAGGTACTTATAAGCGTTCAACAACTGTGCTGTTATATATTCATAAATATCACCATTAAGAAGGATTATTATGGGCA